GATGGATGGATGGATGGATGGATGGATGGATGGATGGATGGATGGATGGATGGATTTCCAGCCTTCAGCTGATCGCAATTCCACTGCTCACAGAATTCAATGATTTTTTGTTTTTGGGGATATGAAGCGGATTTGCATAAGCTTAAGACAGATTATTGTTAAGTAGGAGAAACAAGTACATTCCTGTTAATGTTCCATCTAATTGCAATGCCTAAGGGGGTTTCTCGCTAATGTTTTATTTCCTTTTACAGACGCAGACGGGTTTGCAGCTTTGGCATTAAGAAGATGAAGTGATCTCCCTCCATACGCTATTAATGCATGATTGATATGCGTATAAAAACGTAATAAAAAACAAGTAATTTCCTCGATTAAACCTCGGTCTTCGCTTCAGAAACACCATTCCAAGAAGCTTCCAGAAAATTGTTCTTTCATATTCTATTTCCTTTTAAACGTATTGCGAAACAACTCTGGAAATTTTCAACCCTACAAAATTCGCCTTAAAAAATCGACCAGTCGTGCACTTTTTGCGTTAACGCTTCTCTTGGTCCACATTTTATTTTTCATTTTAAAAAAGCCCTGGGTGCCGAGGGCTGCTAAAGTAAAAAAAAACCCCACAAAAACCAACCAACCTTTACGTCTTTAACAATGCCTCTATTCTAATGATTTGTTGGAAATAACCCAGCAGTAACTGTTTATCGTTTGTTTGCTTTTTTTTCTTACTTTCTAGTATCTCATTTTTCCACACTACGATAAGTGCTTGGTCTATATTTACTCTCTTCTTCGGAGGCAATTTCAAGCGAGGGATTCTAGCCTGGTACATCTTTTTTATATACGTTTCACCCCTCATCTTCAGGTACTGAAGTGGGCTCCAACTAGAAATAAAACGCCGTAAATTCTCATGACGGATACTTACTTTTTGAAGCACTTTGTATTGAACCGTTGTGAGCACTATTGCCACTTTGACATCATTCGCTTCTTCCCTAGTCATACTGTGCTGGCAACTTTTGCCAAACATTGTTAAAAAAATTTTCGTTGCCGGTAAAAGTATATTTGAGCCCTCCTCGCCCCCCCCCCTCCCCCCATGGCCCCGTGTTTTAAATAAGTTAAAAGAGTCGTTCGTGTATGAGATCACAGCGACTCACATTGGCCCAACAGCCCCACAGAGAATGGAGACCCCGAATATACGTATTAGTTCAAGTAAGTTCCGAATGAAGGGTTCCAGTAGTAGACTTAATTACACCAGATTTTTTTCATCGTTATTTTGTCGTTGGATAGCCCACTACACTACTCAATTCCTTTTTTTTTGAGGACGTGATAAAAGTCAGCGATGCAAGATATCAATTTCGTTATTGTCTAGCCCCAGGGCTGAGTTCAGTGGGGAGTAGGTAATGTCGACTATTAGTGCTGGTCGACCCTTGACCCCGACTGGAGGGATTGGATGGAGCCAGGTTCAAGGCTGCCGCCGTTCCAACAACATTACTTTGTTGTGGTTGGAAGCGGAGAGGACTGAGGGAGCCATGACCGATAGCCGATGTCTGCTGATGGC